AACCCTGTCTGCATTTGTGATCGGAGGAATGACAAACAACAAATGCTACTCTACACTGCCCAAAACTCGCGTTTGAATCATCAGTGGCAAATCCTTTAAGTACTTACGTACTTACAGAATGTGAGTCAGAACTCCCGGCATTGTAGGCAACTCTCCCAGGATCAGTAACCACTGATTTGTCCTCTTTTCCTCTTTTGGAAGACCAAACAAAGTAGTTTAGCTTTCACAACGAAAAACACAGCGGCCTAGCATGAGCGAAAACCGCGGCTTAGCGTGAGCTGAGGCCGGGCTAGAGTGAGCAAAGGCGGCGGGGTCGAGAACGGCGCACCCGGCGGATTTGACGAAGGAGCGGCAACCACATGTGACGACTCCGGCCTTCGTCCACGGTGAAAGCCGATTCGGCGATCCACAGCACTAAATTGATGTATTCCCTCAGCGACCAGCACAGATCAGCTCTAGGCATGACGAAGCGGATATCGTCCTCTTTTGGAAGACCAAACAAAGTAGTTTCGTTTTCACAATGAAGCACACAGTGTCTCCACGGCATGGCGGCAGCAATACTACAGTGAGAATAAAAGTTACGCCTTCTTTCTTTGCGTGAACATTTGGGCGGCATTATGCAAATCTTCCCACATAGTGAGGTAGATATGTGGGGGCATGTTAGAATGAGCCGGTTTAGGTAGGCGTGGTTAACTTTTATAAAGAATATCTCTTTGGATTTGAGACATTAGTCTTTGCAACTTTACAGATCTTCTTTATGCACCAAGAGCTTGTAACATTCCAAAGAGAAAGGAAAAATTTTAATCGCATCATATGACACCTTTAAACAAATTGTATCCTGACAAGACGAATAAAAATAAGAAATGAAATTTTTGTACACCATTTTTATTTTCTCAGACATTTTTTTTTCCTACTGTATTGCATAAAATATTAAACAAATTTTGTGTCTTAAGATAATTAATATAAATTCAAGTCAAAGTCAATAAATTCAAGACTCTTGACAAGACGAATAAAATAACAAAATTTTTTGCAGACTACAATTTTGTTTGTTAATCTATCTCTCTTTCTTTCAGTAGCGGAAATTTAAATGTGAGATTCTGGAAATTAGATCTAAATTTATCGGAAACGGTCGGGAAGCAAATTATTCTAAGCAGACAGCGGGTGAACAAAGAGTGAATATATAGTGGGTGCGGAATATAACCTTTGCGGGAGCAAAGAGCATTACATGAGATCTTTAATGAGAGGTGGGCTAGTTACACTCCACACTAAGGTCAGTAGCCAAGGATGAGCCCAGAGAGCCTACAACTTAACTTATACTCTACTGCCTAGCCGAGCTCTAGAAGCGGAGGCCTCAGTATGAATGACTCTCCAAATCGAGAGGAAAGCTAACAATGCCACACGCTCAGGATATCTTGTAAGGAGGCTCACTGTCATAGGCTACCGCCTGCCAATGTTAAGCCCTGTGTCTGAAATTGCCCCCTATACCCTTAAAAAGGGCACTATTTGAGGGGACAGCCATTTTTAGTAGTGTCTAAAACCTTAGTGGACATTATCAAATGCACTCATTCAATGCACAGCAATAATGAGTGTCCTACTGATGTATGCTCAACGACTAGAGAATACCCATAATGCACTGTGTGAATGAATTGCCGCATCTCGCCAGAAGATGGCGTCCGCAGCTGATTCATCCATCCATCCATCCATTCATTTTAAAAAACACTCATCCATGGTGTACAGTGTAATACAATACAGGTATAATTCAATGTAAAATGATTATTAAATTGTTTAATTAGGGTTTATACATAATTTCCATGACAGAGTTCAAGATAAATCCTTCGTACTACTGGAGCTGCCAGTTTCAAATGATTATTAAACAGCAAGCACAAACTATGCAAAAGCGGCAGTCCTCCCGGTGCACTAAGTGTCGGAATTCACTCACTCATTTTCATTTACTGCTTTAAGTGAACTGTATTAGGGGCCTAATGTAGGGAATAATGAATGAGGGTATAGTGGGCGATTTCGGATTCAGCCCTGTTCATTGTCATGCTTAGACTCATGCTTAGACTCATGCTTCAGACACCGGTCATGCCGGAGGCATTCCCCATAGTGCCCTATTGGAGACGCAGCACGAGTTCCCTTTCGAAAGGGAACTTAAGGTGAAAGGGATGACAACAAGGCAAATGAAAGCAAAATGAAAGCTGTGGGTGCTCTGCAATTTGATAATCCAACACTCAGTCATTTGTGGAAGTGACTTTTGTTGGGCTATGAAAATCTATATCTGAGGTGTCTGTGAGTACACAATGTTCTGCTAAAAGTGTTTCGTGCTAATGGCCATGTCACAGCAGTAATAATCCTGCTGAAAAGACCAACATATGTAATCAAATTTGTCAGGTCAAACGATCACCCAGAAGAAGAGATTTATCAATAAATTCTTCCAAAACCAAATTATGTGAGATGTGCAATACACATTCATTAAATTGTCTGTTTATTTTAGGGCTGTCAAAAATAACTTGTTTATTTCTGAGCTCAGTATATATATATATATATATATATATATATATATAT